CTGAACCAGATGGAGCAACATATGTTTTCCAAGGATTTATACAGGGTAAAGATTATGGACAATTTGGACTTCAAAGATTAGGTAACCCACTATTTTTATGTCATAATTCAATATTGTTTCATATTGTACTTTTTTATTATTCATGTTTTTGAAGCATGACTGCATATGAAGTGTTGTATTGAAATTGTATCTCAATATTAGTGTTTGGGTAGAATATAGCTAGACTCATAACCTGAAATAGTAGGAATAGAATATTTTGTTTATAGGAAATTAAATAGGGAAGTATACTTGCTTTAGCGTGGGGGGCTGCTGGTTGTGGCTAAGAACATTTGATATATTTAGTGATCTTGTTTTAAGAACTAAATATGGAATAATAATTTAGTTCCAAATTATGAATTATACAGAGAATAAGTAAGAGAAACAGAGTATGTGCCCAGTGCTGTGAATTAATAAAGATTACTATCCAATCTGGAAATCCTTTTCATATTTTTCTGCATTCAAAATTCTCACTGAAGTCATGAAGAACTTCATGATTTTGCACTCTAGATTCAATTATGCACCAAACTATTTTTTTATTCTTATGCATTTTATTATTGCTAATAAAAACCTTGCTGTTTTATGAATGCGAACGCATAGAGAACAAGAAAAACATTGTATTGAAATTGTATATCAATATTAGTGTTTGGGTAGAATATAGCTAGACTTGTAACCTGAAATAGTAGGGATAGAATATTTTGTTTTATGAATGCTTAAGCATAGAAAACAAGAAAAACATTATCAATTAAACATATAATGTCTGTACTCCTTCTCTCGAGAATTCTAATAATTCTCCTCAGTGGGGGGGAAAAAAACACCCCTTAAATATTGGCAAGATGTTGCATCCAAGGTAGTAGGATTCTACATAGACCAAATAGTGCATTTCTACAAGGAAAATTAGTTCTCATGACTGTAATGTCTTCCTAAATAGATTGGTCATCTTCAGCTAAATCATTTTATCTACAGCCAAAACACATTCTTCCTGCCTCACTCCTATTGTTTAAAAAATCCAAGTATTTTTTTTAATAATTTGAATATGCAGGATTTATTAATTTGTGGAATGAAATAGATCATGTTTTTACTTTCATTATCTTAAGTCATGTTAAACTGGAGTCTTGGAAGCTTAACTTTGCTTTCACTGCATTTGCTAATATAGATGCTTTAGATAGAACTCGTATACAAGACTAAGAGCTATAACCAACATATCTGAGCTTCATTAAGCCATCTATTTCAAAATATTTGGGGATAATCTGTTAAAAAATAAATGCAGTCATGTTTTGGCAATTTGGTTTTATTGGCTTCTTATGAAAACTGTAAGCATTCACACTTCTTCTGGTTTTCAAAGAATTTTAGATTTATTTTTTTTTTAATTTAATAATTTTCTTCCATGAGTTCCATCTTCTAAGAACAAGATTATTCACCTAGGAATATATTTAACTTTGGTACAAGATTAATTAATAGAATCACTAAAGGATCACTAGTAGGCTTGAAGAGAGAGAAATCCACCATGCTTGATCAAGGATTTGCTTTAACTAACAAGTCTTTAGCAGATGTACAAGATATTTTTGTAATTTTTTCTCCAGAATAGATGTGAAATGAGGATTTCAAAACTTTAGTCATACAAACATAAACTATCTTTCAAACCAAACCTCCCATTCATTTCCTGCTTGTTGTACCTAATAATTTTTCTTATCACTATGCTTATTTATCATCTAAATATATCATAAGTCCTCACAAATGCTCACTTGCAATAATAATGCGAGGAATTTTGGAGTGGTACTTGCTGGAAATAACTAATCCTTTTTTCTTTCTCTTTCTTTTATTTTTTTGTTTAGGTCTTAATGTGTCTGAAGGTTCAAATTCTTCTAATCAACCACATGGTACAAATAGTAGTTCTGTGGCCATTGCTATCCTTGTGCCTTTCTTTGCCCTTATATTTGCAGGTTTTGGGTTTTACCTTTATAAGCAAAGGTAAGTGTAAATTAATCCTTGCATTATCATTTGCTTAAAGTTCTTCAGTGCCCTTAAACTTGAGTGTAATAAATAGGATAACAAGAGCTTTCCTGAGAACTCCTTCACAAAGATCTCTATAGAAGTTCCTTGTTATTCTTTTAAAGGTGACATAATGTTTAATTAGTAAGGTTGCTATACCTTCACTCCCACCTTTTAGGAATGAAATACTATAAAATTTTATGAGCAGAATAAGGATAGGTTAAATTACTGGCATCTTTTCATGTTTGCTTTTTGAAAATTGCCTCTTATTTGGCAAGTGACAGTACTGAGAGTGATATCTCTAATCTAATGTATTTTAAAGCCCACATATTTATATGGGCCTGCAAGTATGTATGGTGTGGTCTTATGTCAGTGAAAGGTTTTATTATGAAAAATGATTCCACAGCACAAATTCGTAATAGAATTATAATTAGCTTACTACCATGTTCTGCTCAGAGTTACTGTATTATTAGCGATAGTTTTGTGCATGTCTCTGAGGACAAAATGTATTCCTCTGTTTCATTTTTAAGGAATATTTTCTAACAGTCAATTGCATAACATCAGATAAGTAAAAGATCTTGCACTACAACAATCAAGGATGGGAATGGGACTCCTAAATAGCTGTATGCACAGCAGTACTTGTCAGATGTCTTAACAATTACTCTTACAGTGCAGTCAAAGGCCAACATGACTAAAATGTGGTATCTGTGTCATAAAAATGGAACTAAAAGTCCTTGAACTGCTCCAGACTAATACTTGGTTATTGGCATACAAATATTTATTTCTTTTATACAACAACTTTTATCCAAGTTGAATTATTATATCTCTTGACTTTTCATATAAAAAGGCTTCAGATTCTGAATTTAAGTTTTATTCATATTTATAGCCTATCTAGTCAAACTGAAACCTTTCTAAATAAAAATCATTTCACTATTGTTGCCCTCAGATAACAAGCAGTGTTTAGCCTTCATTTCCATTTTCCACCGAACAGCTCTTAACAATATTGCATTTTTGCTGATTTTCAATTAGCTATAAGCACGTTATAACATTATTTTAATATGATAATCTTCTGTAACCTTGTTTAAAAAGCCAGCAACGTCCTTTAATTAATTTTCAACTTTAATATTTTAAATTGAAAATAGTCCCATTTATTAAGGTTCTTATGCCACACAGATCACTATGAAAAACTCCAGTTGTAAACATCCTGTGTTTTTCTTTAACAGGACTGCACCTAAAACACAGTATACAGGCTGCTCTGTACATGAAAATAATAACGGGCAAGCTGCTTTTGAAAACCCCATGTATGACACAAATGCAAAGTCTGTAGAAGGGAAAGCTGTGCGATTTGACCCCAACTTGAACACTGTTTGCACAATGGTATAATGTGGTAATGCTTTGTCTACAGAAGTTTGGAAATTGAAACACAACACAGTGCACGCGTAGTTCACTGATAAAAATTTAAAGCACACTTTTCAGGATATAATGGATCACCTTTTCCTGAGGATGATAGACAAGAGTGTTTTTTTCATAAACTGGAACAGAATTGTTCTTCATGTTTACCATGGAGAGTTTTACAGATAATCTGCTGCACTCCACGAGTGCTTACTCACAGTTTATTTGCTTTTTTAAAAAAGGAGATTATTCTAAAACATAAAACATATTTGCATATATTGGAGGAGCATCCACTATCAGTACTTCTGTGCTTTATAAAACTATAATAGAGGGACTGGGTTTAAAAACAAAAAGATATAGGGTAGAAAATAAGAGCTATAATTACAGGAGATAATAGGTCACTGACTTCTCTTTTGCATTGATGAGCTATCTCATTCTCTTAAATTTGAACTTTGTACCATTCTTTCAGTTATTCACCCCTGTTTAGCAAGTGTCTTTTTTTTTCTCAGACCAGTTGATTTCTAACATTGCTCAATATCATGTCACAAGTTTAAACCTACAAATGTAACTTGCTATTTTTTACAGTGCAGAAGGAAAATAAATGACAGGTTTTCAGATCTTATTTAATTTCTCGTTTCATATCTAGCCTTGTCCTCACATTCAGTGTCAAGCTTCTTTCCTCTGTTCTCATTAGCAAGACCCACAGGTGATAATGGGTGTAGTCTTGCTTCTCTATGTTCCCTCCTGTGGGCTTTTGCTAGTAGACATTGGTTTTATAACAAAAGATGGTAGCACACTATATGAATTGTGCTTTGTCATGCAGCAATGTTCCTTCCTGTTGAAGATGATTTGCAAGAGTGACCATTTTACACTTTTTTCTAACATCAAAATGTACCTTAATGAAGTTCGGATTAGAAAGATACTGTTTATAGAGACGCTAGAAAGCGAAATCAATATATCAAGAACATATGGCTTCCCATTTCAATCCGTATTACTGTCTATACATATTTCATTATCAGCATTATTCTACTCCTGAATTTTCTCAAAATACACATGCTTGTGGCATGATGCAAAGCCCACAGAAATCAATCCAATGACTGACTGATTTCAGTGAGCTTTGGATCAGGCCTATTCATTGCAGAATCATACTTTGGAAGTAATTTGGCTTTGGAACACAAGTTGGTATCAGATATTATTCAAACAGACCCTCACTATAATTAGCTAAAATTGAATTTATTGCAGCAATACAGTACGAACAGTCTTTTAAGGAAGTAAGACATTGTTTAATTAGGATTAACCCATCAAAACATACAAGTCTCACTCCCAGAAAGGCAAGTTTCAAACACGGTAAACAAATTTTGAAGGAAGGTAATCTTTAGTTTTACTGTTTTTTTCATAACAGAGTTATCCATTGGCAACTCCAGTAATTTATTTGTAAGTCATTGTCTTCCTTTTATAGCATGACTCACAAATTCTGTATGTTAGCCTGTGTGAATTATCTGTTACTGTCCCTTTAAGACAATAATAACTCTGTGAAAAATCTAACCTTTTTATTACCATAATAGAGAGTGCCTACCAAAAATCATTGTACCCAGGATTGCTGCTTGGATTTCTAAAATGTTTGATGAATTTCTTATAAACCATTTTACAACACTTTGTTTTGAGAATTCATACAATTCTGTCAAACTGCATTCTACTAAAAAAGATGCTGTTTTATATTTTTTACCATCAGTTGTTATTTATTCTTGTTTGTTCAAATGACTGCAATAACTATGACTCATTCATTAATGTTAAGGTTAATAGATTTGAGATCGTTTAAAATATGTTTCTTCTGCGACTGGCTACTCCTCTTATATTAATGCATACACTTTTGTAAAGAAGTATATTTTTATGAAAAAAAGGATTTGTAAAAGTATGATGTAAATTTTCAGTGCAATGTAAACAAAATAAAAATGGACAATTGCTTTTTTAACAATGTGTCTTCTTTACTAGCTGAGCTTCAACACTTTTATCAGGTACAGAAACTAGAAAGCAACTGAAATGGTTACACAAACTCACTATTTTCTCAGATTTCCAAGTACACTTTTGGCTCCTCACTCTCCACCCTGAACCTCCCAGTCTTCTCATGCCATTGCAAGTAAATTGCATTTTATTTACTGAAGTGATTTAGATTTATTTAATCTTTCATGAATATTGAAGTTGTCTACTTTTTCCAAGAACAGTACTATAGTTGTTTAGAACAGACAGTGGGAATTCATATGATATTTCCTGAATGGAGATATTTGAGTACAAACAAAAGAAATCCCTTATCTTTTACTGAAAATAAACTGGGAAAAAATATTTTTAGGCAATAATTATGGGGTGATGGGAAGGGGAATGATACATTTTTTGCTTTGAATAGAGACCTGTCCTTTAAGGACACTTTTTATTTGTAGTCATGGAGAAAAGATAAAACCTGATCTGAAATGGTGTTCAGGGAGTACAATGAGATAAATATCTGTCTACTATTCTTTTTAAAAAATTAGGCATTTTAAATAAACTGAAAAGGCTTGCTTCTGTCCACACTGAAATCAATAGGGATTTTGTTGGTGAATGCACAGGAAGCAAAAGCAAAAAGTGACTGTAAAATCAAATTGTGCAGTTCGCTCTTTAATGTTTCTCACTGGATTTCTAGGCCAAATTGTTTAATTTGATACATAAAAATATGCTATTACCTAGTAGCCAACCCTTCAGACTCAGCTTAGTCTCTGAAGTAAAACTGTCCCTGTTCTGATTTATGCATTACTAGTAATATAGTAAAGAAATTCTGAACATAAAATTTTCTTAATAGTTGTGTTGATGGTGAATGAACCACAAGGGAATACAGAAAGCATTTTCCTAAGGCTGTATTGACTTCTCAGTAGCACCAGATGAAATGCACATAATGGATTAAATTTTTTTGGTCAGAATTTTCCTATTTTGCCAATTTGTAGAAAGTGTGTGAAATGGAGGCATTCTCAATCAAGTGTAAACTCTTTTTATATTATATTGTCTGAAATTTTTCAATACCAGGGTAATAGAAATGTTAATCTTTCACAATAGTTTATGGTTGGTTGATTGTAGTTGGTTAAATAAATCATTTACTTGCTGTGATTTCCAGACTCTCTGGTTCTGCAGTTTATAGAATAGGTAGCAGAAACTATTTTGACTAGTTTTCTGAAGGGGACTTGCTATGACAACACACATTAGTGAAGAATGATGTGGGTGGAAATGGTTTTGTAGTGCAAAGAGGTCTCTAATAGAGTGAGATAATTCAGAAAACTGTTAATGAGACAGAAACCTTATCTGTTCACAAAGGTAGTATTAGTTTCATTATTTTTAAAAATCTTATTAAACTTGTTTAAATTCTTTGACTCAGTTTTCAACCTCTGAACTTATATCCCTTACACTGGTTGCCCAAAATTCTGATTGCCATAGAGCTCCTAAATTCTATCTTACAGCTTGCCAAAAATCTCCTTGATCCATAGGGGAAGAGAAGTTGTAGTAGTAGGATCAGAAACAGACCCAGAATATAAATCTATAACCTATATAGGACACCCAGGAAATCTACATGCATTTCCATTGGCAAAACTTAGCCACTTGCTGGGTGTGGTGGTCTCCCATATAGTCAGAGGAATAAATGTATATGTAACGTGTATTTATTCGTCCCAGACCCAGTCAGAGTGAGTAAGTGAAGCCAAAAAAGAAGCAAGTTCTATGGAACATGCTCTGGCTACTGCCTCTAATTGCAGCTGTTGATAACATTTAGATTAGATATATTGTAATGCTCTATAATTCAGTTACTTAATTTTTGGCACCTTCACCCCTCTGTGATTTTGTCCAAAGATACCTTTTCTTTGTGGAGACCTCAAGCCTCTACCATGACTAGACCTCGACACAGAAGACCTTAAATACATTTCAACCCCAAGGCTAAGTACAGACAGTCAGAAAGCCCAAAGTGGAATCTGTTCAACCTAGGTAGCTTCCACAAAGCTGCGTAACTTGAACTGAAAACTAACTGAACTGATAGGCAGGGGGCTCTAGAGCACTTGTTCCAGCCTGCTGGCCATTGCCAGTCCAGCCAAGTGTCCCCAACACCCCTGCTGTCCCCCGCACAGAGATTAAGGAGCCCCCTGTCCAGGTGCTAGCCCACTTAGGGGGACCCTCCCCCTCAGGAGGTTTCCCCCATCCTGGGTTCCTGAGCCCAGGCAGCTGTGGGGAGCTGAGGGGAATACCCTCCCTCCACCCCTTCCTAGCTGCTGATTGCTTCAGTTACTGCCACAGGAGGGAGGGAGAAGAATTGCTCCTTGCTCGATGCCTGCCCATGCATCACAGCATGGGGGCACTGCGGGGCCCCTGCCTTGGAGGGGGTTCCCCCCGCAACCCATCCCAGGGTCCCCCTAGGGAGATGAGGGGAATTCTTTCCCTCCCAAACCACAGAGCAGCTTGTCTTAGCTGCTGCAAGTCTCAGGCAGTTTCAGGGAATGGAGGGAAATTCTTCTACTCCCCTGCATTAGTTTTGCCTCAGACTTGCAGAAGCTGAGGCAAAACTGGTTACAGAGGAGCAGGAGAATTTCCCTCTGCTCCCTGATACTGCTTGAGACTTGCAGGAGCTGAGGCAAGCTACTCTGGGGTTTAGGAGGGGAAGAAGTGCCCTCAGCTCCCTGGGGCTGCCCCAAGCTGGGGGTGGCAGGGAATCCCTCAAGGCAGGGGCACCCCAGTGCCCCCACACTGGGTTGCATGGGCAGGCACCCAGCCGGGAGCAATTCTTGTCCCTCCCTCCAGTGACAGCCGCTGAAACAATCAGAAGCTGGGAAGGGGGAGGGCTGCTGAGAGTCAAAAGCCCCCAACACAGAGGCTTTCTCTCCCCCTATGTGCTGTGTAGACCCTGGCTAGGAAGGTCTGGGGGGCCTGTCCCTTGCCCTCCCCCATCTCTATGGGCTGATGAATGCAGGAGGAAGTAGGCTAAGTAGTAGAGAGGTGAGGCAGCCCCTGCTCTACTGGAGCAGATAGCATAGCCCAGGACTGCAAAAGATTTTGGGATGCTGAGGGACTGTGAGTTAACTTGAACCAGGAAGGGATCTGGGACAGAAGTTCCATAAACTGGTTTGACCTAAATCCA